TGTTCTGGCCGTGAGGCTGTAGAGGGATGGCCGGTGGTAGCAGTGCGGGCTGCTTGGGGTGTTGGCCATGAGGCTGTAGGGGGATGGCCGGTGGTAGCAGTGCGGGCTGCTTGGGGTGTTGGCCGTGAGGCTGTAGAGGGATGGCCGGTGGTAGCAGTGCGGGCTGCTTGGGGTGTTGGCCGTGAGGCTGTAGAGGGATGGCCGGTGGTAGCAGTGCGGGCTGCTTGGGGTGTTGGCCGTGAGGCTGTAGAGGGATGGCCGGTGGTAGCAGTGCGGGCTGCTTGGGGTGTTGGCCGTGAGGCTGTAGAGGGATGGCCGGTGGTAGCAGTGCGGGCTGCTTGGGGTGTTGGCCGTGAGGCTGTAGAGGGATGGCCGGTGGTAGCAGTGCGGGCTGCTTGGGGTGTTGGCCGTGAGGCTGTAGAGGGATGGCCGGTGGTAGCAGTGCGGGCTGCTTGGGGTGTTGGCCGTGAGGCTGTAGAGGGATGGCCGGTGGTAGCAGTGCGGGCTGCTTGGGGTGTTGGCCGTGAGGCTGTAGAGGGATGGCCGGTGGTAGCAGTGCGGGCTGCTTGGGGTGTTGGCCGTGAGGCTGTAGAGGGATGGCCGGTGGTAGCAGTGCGGGCTGCTTGGGGTGTTGGCCGTGAGGCTGTAGAGGGATGGCCGGTGGTAGCAGTGCGGGCTGCTTGGGGTGTTGGCCGTGAGGCTGTAGGGGGATGGCCGGTGGTAGCAGTGCGGGCTGCTTGGGGTGTTGGCCGTGAGGCTGTAGGGGGATGGCCGGTGGTAGCAGTGCGGGCTGCTTGGGGTGTTGGCCGTGAGGCTGTAGGGGGATGGCCGGTGGTAGCAGTGCGGGCTGCTTGGGGTGTTGGCCGTGAGGCTGTAGGTCTTTCTGTATTTGTCCTTCCCTTCCCCAGCTATTGGAAACAGCTGCAGTCTTGTCAGTTGATACGCGGGTAAGGGTAGCCTGGCTGTGAACACGCTTGTAGCGAAGTTGGTCTGGAAGGGACTTTGGTCTCGGCTGGTCTAGATTTACTTGGTCCTACCTCAGCGCCTTTCAATGTCCCCAATAGCTTCCCCCATCCGTGTGTGGAATAAATGTCAGGTGCGCCAAGGCACGTGCATTGAGGCTCCGAGGCTGGGTCTGCAGACCTCTGGGCCCAGGTCTGGGTGCGATTCACTAGCTCTATGCAGTTGTTCTTAGGCCAGTCCGGAGCCTGTAGGCCTTGGTTCCCTCTAAGCTGTGCGGCAGCATGGTCCTAATGAGCCCTGCCCAGCAGGCTGTCTGGAGGGGGGAGGGGCACTTCTGAGGACAGAGCAGCGAGGCAGGGACATGTTCCCTCCCCCCCCTCCCCCCCCGCCTCCTGGGAGAGACGCGCTGTTCTGTCCTCAGCGGGGATCTGCTGGTGTTGCGGAGGGCGAAGGGTCCCTTCCCCCGCCAGACAGCTCCAGGCGCCAAGCCCTGAGCCCCTGGCTGGGCAGGGCTCATGTAGGCAGTGGTGGGGCTGTGCTGCCGCGCAGCTGAGAGGGAGCCCCGTGGCCCTGGCTCAGCTTGGCACTGCGAGTTTTCAGACACCTTGGCTGCTCTTCTGAGAACAGCCTTGTGTTAGACCTGCAGCTGTACCACAGCGAGACGCTGGAGCTGATGCTGCAACGCTGGAGCAAGCTGGAGAGAGATTTCCGCATGAAGAATGGGCGCTATGACATCAGCAAGATCCCTGACATCTATGACTGCATCAAGTACGACGTGCAGCACAATAGCAGCCTGAAGCTGGAGGGCACGGCTGAGCTCTTCAAGCTCTCCAAAGCTTTGGCGGATGTGGTCATACCCCAGGTACAGTCGGGCTCCACTCGCTCTCTGCTCGGGCCTCCCCAAGGGACGTGTTCAGGCCAGTGCCGGCGTTCCCTGCGGGGGGGGGAGGAGGGGCAACGCCACTACGCGGCTGGCTGGTGTCACTGCACTGAGCAGTTCCTACATCCACATATTCAAGGTGGCTACTCTGCAAGCCACCCTGTCTTCTAGAGAGCATTGCCCACTGGTCACCTTGCGTCTCCCTCTTAGCCAGAAGGGTTCCAAGACTCGGGAAAGGTCAGTGTGTCCCAGACCACCTCAGGTGCAGAAAGCTTGGATCATGGCAGAGTTCTGTGTGCAACATCCCGGGGCCAGGGCTGGGGGCTGACATCGGTCATCGGACAGGCCAGCCAGCTGGCCGGCCTTCCTTCTACTCTCCCGGCAGGCTCGGCTGTCTGGCAGGCGTCAGCCCCTGGATGTTGCTAGGCCAGAGAGTCCCGGTTTAGGGAGGTACAACCTGTATTTGCGTTCCGGTTTCAGAAGCAGAGCTCTTATTTCCAGAGGTGTTCAGGAGGGAATCTCATCAAACCACAGCCAGCAAGCTCAATTCATCTAGATGAAGCTATGGAAATAGCCATCTTGCTGGGTGGAGTCTTCTGGAGCCTAGGAAGACACCTGTCAATAAACCACATTTGACTCTTGGCCTTTCTTTGGCTGCAAGTGTTCCATTAAATGCCTGGCTGTCTTCATCTCTGCCATACTTGACCAGCGGGAGAGTGCCTCTAGTAGTAAGTCACTAGGGCTACGTCCAGACTGCACGCCTTTTTCGACAGGCTTTGTTGTCAGATACTGTTGACAAAGCCTCTGTCGGAAAAGTGCATCTAGACTGCGATCAGCATTGTCGGAAAGCA